GTACGATCTGTGAAACTGCAGAATCTTAGGAGAGAGTTTGAATATGCTAGGATGAGAGATGATGAGTCTTTATCTAGCTATCTTACACGGCTGAATGAGTTAATTAATCAAATGAGAACATTTGGTGAATCTCTGTCGAATGAGAGACTTGTGCAGAAAGTGTTGATTAGTCTTAGTAAACCTTATGATTTTATCTGTTTGGTTATAGAAAACACAAAGTGTCTAGAGACTGTAGAGTTGCAGGAAGTAGTTGCAATCTTAAAGAGTCAAGAGCAACGGTTTGATCTGCATACTGTTGATACTACTGGGAAAGCATTCTCATCTTTCTCAGTGAGTCCAAAAGAGCAGAATAGGGGTGAAGGTCAACCTGGTTCATCTCAGTTTCAGAAAAATTGGAATAATAAGGGTAAGAAATGGGGTTCAAAACCTAAGTTTCAGCAGAAATTTCATGCTAATTCTGCACATAATGCACAGTCAATGGGGCAGATAGGTACCAAACCACAGTGCAGGGTATGTTCTAAGTTTCACTTTGGAGAGTGTAGGTATAAAGGGAAACCTAAATGCTATAACTGTGAAAGGTTTGGTCACTGGGCTAGAGAGTGCACAATAGGTAAATCAGTGCAAAAGGCAAATTGTGCTAATCAGGTAGAGGTGACAGGGAACCTGTTTTATGCAAATAGCACAATCACTGAATCAAAAGTGAATGGAGAATGGTATGTAGACAGTGGTTGTAGCAACCATATGACAGGGGATTCTAAGTTGTTGATAGACATGAAGACAAATGTAGTTGGCAAGGTTCAAATGCCCACAGGGGAACTCATGAATGTGGCAGGTTTTGGTACACTTGTGATAGACACTAGCAAAGGCAGAAAATATGTCAAAGAAGTAATGTACTTACCTGGGTTGAAAGAAAATCTGTTAAGTGTGGGGCAGATGGATGAACACGGTTACTATCTGTTATTTGGGGGAAAGATGTGTAGTATCTTTGATGGACCTTTATTGGATTGTCTTGTTCTCAAAGTTGAAATGAAAAAGAACAGGTGTTATCCTTTGACACTGATACCAAATGATCAGGTTGTACTGAGAGCAGGTATTTCTAAGTCTACTTGGATATGGCACAAGAGACTAGGCCATCTGCATTTTAGAGGTCTTCAACAGCTTAAGAATAAAGAAATGGTGCATGGTCTCCCAGTTTTAGAAGAAATGGATGAAGTCTGTGAAGGCTGTCAGTTTGGAAAACAGCATAGAGAGTGGTTTCCAAAGAATCAAGCATGGAGAGCTAGTAAACCTCTAGAACTGGTACATGTGGATCTGTGTGGTCCTATGCAGAATGATTCTCTTGCGGGTAACAAATATTTCATGCTTCTTGTAGATGACTGTACAAGAATGATGTGGGTTTATTTCCTGAAATACAAGTCAGATACATTGATCTGTTTTCGAAAGTTCAAGTCCATGGTGGAATTACAAAGTGGCTTTAAGATAAAATGTCTGAGAAGTGACAGAGGGGGTGAATTTACATCTTGTGAATTCAACAAGCTGTGTGAAGATGCAGGGATTCAAAGACAGTTATCTATGGCCTATACTCCACAACAGAATGGAGTGGTAGAGAGGAAAAACAGAGCTGTAGTTGAGATGGCAAAAGCTATGCTCCATGACAAAGGACTACCATACTACTTATGGGCAGAATCTGTACTCACAGCTGTCTATTTATTGAACAGGTGTCCTACAAGAGCTCTTGGAGAAGTAACTCCATTTGAAGCATTCAGTGGTCGAAAACCTGGAATTGCACATCTCAGAATCTTTGGTTGTCTGTGTTATGTACACACACCAAATGAGTTGAGACAGAAACTAGATGCAAAGAGTGTCAAAGGCATATTTGTAGGTTATGCAACCTGTGAAAAGGGGTACAGAGTGTATGATCCTCTTAGTAAAAAGCTTATACTCTCAAGGGATGTAGTGTTTGATGAAAATGCAGCCTGGGAATGGAAGACAGCTCCTGAGAACTATGTAACTGTGTTTAATTCTAGTGAGCTATCTGTGCTGCCTAAATGTATCTCATCAGAGACAACTTCAGAGGAAAATGATTATGCTTTGTCACCAAATCTGGCATTCTCTCATGAATCTGTAAGTGATGTGGACAGCAGCATAAGAAGGACTCAAGTTTTTGATCACACTCCATTGAAATGGAGGAATCTAGATGATGTTTTGGCACAATGCAACCTTTGTATTATGGAACCTGAAAAGTTTGAAGAGGCAGCCAAAGATGAAGCATGGATAAAGGCTATGAAAGATGAACTGTCAATGATTGAGAAGAATGCAACTTGGGATCTGGTGAACAGACCAAGTGATAAACCCATAATTGGGGTTAAGTGGGTGTTCAAGACCAAGCTTAATCTCGATGGGACAGTGCAAAAGCATAAGGCAAGGCTGGTAGCCAAAGGATATGCTCAGAAACCAGGTGTGGATTACAATGAAACGTTTGCACCTGTAGCTAGACTGGATACAATTCGGACTCTAATTGCTTTGGCAGCTCAGAAAAGTTGGAAATTATACTAACTAGATGTGAAATCTGCTTTTCTGAATGGAGTACTCGAAGAAGAAGTTTATGTAGAACAACCAGATGGTTTTGTGATCAAGGGGAGTGAAGACAAGGTGTACAAGCTTTATAAAGCTTTGTATGGTCTAAAACAGGCGCCAAGAGCCTGGTATAGTGAAATTGATACCTATTTTGCTCACTGTGGGTTTGTGAAAAGTCAGAGTGAAGTTACTCTTTACATCAAAGCAAGGGGAGGAGAAATTCTGATAGTTTCAATCTATGTGGATGACATAGTGTATACTGGGAATAGCACTGAGATGCTGAAGGAGTTCAAGGAAGACATGATGACAAAATATGAGATGACAGATTTGGGGCTTCTTCATCATTTCCTTGGTATGGGAGTGATTCAAACTCACACAAGCATATTTATCCATCAAAGGAAGTATGCTGTTTCTTTGTTAGATAAGTTTGGTTTGAGTGAGTGTAAATCTGTGTTTACACCACTGGTTTCATCAGAGAAGCTATGTAAAGATGATGGCAGTGGTTCAGCAAGTGAGGAACAGTATCGAAGAATTGTGGGAAGTCTGCTGTATCTCACAGCAACTCGACCAGATATAATGTATGCTGCTAGTCTTCTAGCTCGATTCATGCACTGCCCTACAAATAAACATCTTGGAACAGCCAAAAGAGTGCTTAGGTATATCAAGGGAACTTTAGACTATGGTTTAGAGTATGTAAAGGGAAAGAATGCAATGCTAATCGGATTCTGTGATAGTGATTGGGGTGGATCTGTTGATGATAGCAAGAGTACTTCTGGTTATGCATTTTCCTTTGGCAGTGGAGTGTTCTCGTGGGCCTCAGTGAAGCAGAATTGTGTAGCACTCTCTACAGCAGAAGCAGAGTACATCAGTGCCTCTGAAGCAACTGCTCAAGCCATTTGGCTTAGATTTGTTCTTGAAGATTTTGGTGAGATGCAAACTGAAGCGACTCCAGTACACTGTGATAATACAGCAGCAATTGCAATTACTAAAAATCCTGTTTTCCATCAGAAAACCAAGCACATTGACAGAAGGTATCATTTTATCAAGAATGCACTCCAGGAAGGGATAATCGATTTGGTGTACTGTCCAACAAATGAGCAGGTGGCAGACATATTCACTAAGGCTTTGTCTAAGGATCGGTTCAACTATCTTCGAGATATGCTTGGTGTGAAATCAGCTCAAAACTTAAAGGGGAGTGTTGAACTATAAGTATTTGAGCTGAAAAGATTTAGAATAAGTTTTGTTTAAATTGGTGTATCCACTTGTGCAGAATGAGGCAAAGTGTAAATGACTAGTTTTGTAAAAAGGCCATGAGTGCCATGTGTTGAGTGATCCATGAGATTAGAAAGATGTGTGTCTAGGATGAATTGTAGTGGTTATTGTGGTCCCAAGTTAAGGGCCTTCAATTAATGTAAAAGCAAGTTAGTGCTCTTTTTGGAGTGTGATGAAATATTCCTCTGCAAGAGTTTCTGCAGAGTGAAAAACAAGAAACCATTCGTTTTCTTTCGTCTTGGTTTATTTTGCTTTCTGTTCAGCTCCATCTACATCAAAACCTTCGTTGATTTAAGAAACACTAACAGCCAGTAGTATTCGATCACCAAGTAGAGTAATGCTACTGGATGGTGAGTGAGCTCTTCTGTTCTTATGCTTTCAGGCTGATGATGAGGATAAAATTAAGGAGGCGGCCAATCGGATTAATCAGTTGCCAGACGACATACTGTCGTTGATGTTTTCCTTGTTAATCAGTTGCAAGATCTGATTGTTAACAATAATCTTCGTTATCACTCATCATATTTGTCCCCATTCATCACGTCTTTTTTTATTTTATTTTATTTTTTCGAGCAAGGATTATCGTACTGTTTTAACTATTGATATAACTTTTATTCTTTTGATACATGCGAAATTCTACTTACCAATCTAAACTGCAGAAGAGAGACTCGAACTTGAGTGCATAGGAGACGGATCTTAGCTGAAGTTGCTATGTTCATGTCTGTGTATTTAATTTTGTTCTTCGTTTGGTTCATTTCTTTGATTGCTTAGTTCATTTTATCGGTTGATTGTATCATTTCACATTTCGAGTTTCCCCTTTTGAATCGACAATCAAACACTCAGCAAGCACAGTCCATGACCCAAAACCCTAACTTGCAGCATCAGTTAGTTTTTGGACTCAAAACAACGATCACGAATTTGCTTCAATTCACTTCACTTTCCGTGAGAGTTAAGCAAACCATCACATATCAGTTACCGTTACATGTCACCAAAACTGCAGTTCCCGCCTCACTAAAGCTCACACCAATTGGTCTTCCACGTGAACTGACCAATCACATCAATATATACATGTGTACACACACACACACACACACACACACGCACATACACACCTATAATATATCGGAGTTCTAGCAGCAAATTAAGCATCGCAAATGTTGCAGAATATGGGAATGGAATCAATGCCACTTATATTCTTGTTCACAGTTATTTTGTTGCATCTTCACTCACTGCAGATGCATAGTTTGCCAATTGCACCAGCGCTGTATGTGTTTGGGGATTCACTGTTTGACGGTGGTAACAATAATTTTTTGCCAACTATTTGTAAGGCAGACTATCTGCCTTATGGGGTGAATTTGTCAAGGGAGCCACTGGAATATTTACCAATGGCAGAACAGTAGCAAATTTTATAGATAATTTTTTTGGTTTATTTTCAGTTCATATCTTTTATTGGCTCTAACTCTTTGTACTGTAGTTTCTCTCCCTCCCTCTCTCTCTCTCTCTTCTTTTTTTAGCTGAGTTTCTTGGCCTACCATATCCTCCCCCATACATGAGCATACGTGGATTGGCGACAGCGCTTAAAGGCCTAAATTATGCATCTGGCTCTTGTGGCATTCTACCAGAAACTGGAAGCCAATGTGTAAGCTTAGGCATGAGTCAGTCAAGTTAATTAATTATTAGATGAAGTTGGTTTAGTTAACTGGTGCTCTTTAATTAACATCCATATTTTCATCATGTTTTGCTAATGAGATCATTAATTTTAGAACCATTCAAATCCAATTAATCGCAGCCAACATGCTTGGCAGGCAAGGAATTGCTGCTATGTATATACATATAGTATGAGTTTTCTTTCATCTTTTTCTACTTTTGCAGGGTAAATGCTTAAATCTGAAAGACCAGATAGATTTGTTTCAACGAACGGTGAAGTCAGACTTGCCAGGACAAATAAAAAATAACACCGATCTTTTGCAGCACTTGTCCAAATCTATATTTCTGTTTTCTGTTGGCAGCAATGATTTCATCGACAACTACCTTGAACCTGCAGTTTTCGATACAAGCAAACGCTACCCTCCTCAACAATTTGTACAAGTCTTGATGGATGCAATTGCTCACCATATGGAGGTAACAATATCTGATCTCTTTCTCTCTTGTCATTCAGTATCTAAGTAAAATAATGATTAGCGTTCATGGTGAAAATGTTGCAGACGCTATACAATTTAGGAGTCAGGAAAATCGTCATGTTTGAAATTGGTCCGCTTGGATGCATCCCGTCAATTGCAAAAACACATAATCACAGTGGAAACTGTGTGGAACATACAAATGAGAGCTAGCCTCAATTTTTAATGATGAGCTTCGCGCAACGCTTGCAAATTTAACCACCACTTTCCAAGGCTCTTTCTTTGCTCTTGGTCGAGCTAATAGGATTGGTTATGATGCAATTACAAATCCTATTAAATATGGTAAATTCAAAAACTATGTTGTCCTCTCCTTATTTAATTTATTCGATTTTGTTAATGATTTATATGTTTGACCGAACAGGGCTAATGGATGGAAGCAATCCATGCTGCACTACTTGGGCAAATGGGACTTCAGGGTGCATTCCATTTCTTACACCCTGTTCCGAACCAAATAATCACTTCTTTTGGGATGCTTATCATCTTACTGAATCTGCATATTCAGTTATAGCAACAAGCTGCTTCAATGGTTCAACCGTTTGTACGAATCATTGATTAATAAGATTATTTATCAACCTAGCTAGCTCAAGACTCTTGGTTTTATGGAATCATGGATAAACTATTGCACCTACATGTTGCATAAAGACTAATTATGATGTAGTTACATCATAGAACAAGTCTAACTGCAGATTATTAGCAGAGATGCTAGCTGTATGATCATGAAGGCACACTTAAAGCAGTACACGCCACAATTCTACACAGACTAGATAGCTATAGGGGCCTGATCACTGTATAATTAAACTGGTTTCGAGATTGAAGCAATCTCAATGCTGTGGCTCATGATTGTTTATGGGCGGTTTGCAGCGCCAATCTCTTCCCTTATAATCTTTATTCATCAGGCTTAATATCTCTCTTGTTGCCTTAAGAAGCCTTCTTGTTTCCTCTGTCAACTTATGATCATCAGTTTCATCATACTTAGTAGTCTCTTCCAAAGCAAAAGTACTGTCCTTACCTGCAATCAGATAACAAAAAATCTTAACATGAGCCTTGTATTATTCACCTTCTTCCTCAATATATCAACCCTCAAAGCAGTACGGTAAGTTTCATTTGCATCCAAATAAACACATATATTGCAATCTTCTTAAGCATCAAAGCAAGAAATTCCCTCCAATATGCATATATCTTTAATTTGGAATACTAATTAATACGTACAATGATACAAACAAACTAGCTAGCTACACATGATATATCTGTCATACGCATATTTTTACTACAGCACCCATCTGATAACAAGAAGACGGCGAGGGTACATAAACTGATCTAAGATTGAACTTGGGTTCTCAATGATTTTCTCAATTATTATAAGCAGTAGTAGTACTAGTATAACTTTTCTCATAATCAATCCAAGCTTAAAATTTTGCATGTAGATCTCCCTTTCCTACGAAGTCACAACTTCCATCAGAACTACTGTTGTACCTGAATTCGTTGATGTAGTAGAACTACGGGTATCTCCATTTGGCCCAACTGCACTTGCAGGCTCTAACTTCCTAAACACTTTGTGTGCCACCATTTTTCTTCCTCCAAGCCCTATCATCCTTGACCCAGCTATTGAAATTCCATGATCGAGTATTTTCTGCACATACACTTACATGGTTAGCTTACAAATGAATAATTGGTAATGGCACATGAAACAAGAGAAGTGCTTTGCAACCCTAAAGCGTGCAAATATTACGAGAATGTCATTTTGCGCACTTCACCATAAGAGTGCAAGAAGCTCTCTAAAGAGTGCAAATATATAGTATTGCCCTACGTACAAGGATCATGATATAACAAGTACCTGTTGATCAGATGGTCCATTTCCGGTCACTGAAATCTCTTTTTTACCTACAAAACATAAGTATACTTAAGAACCTCTCAGATACAAATCTACGGAAAATCCCTAATCAAATTAATGGACTAATAGGAGAAGATTAACCTATCTACCTTGATGAGGATGTGTAGTAAACTCGCCTAGGGCATGCATAACAAAAAGAAGCCCAACTACGAAGCTTGCAAGCTGTTGCATATCTTTGTGATTTCCTCCTTAATTAGTCGTTGATTAACAACAAAAGAAGGGAAACTAATTTGGAGAGACTAATGTGGGTATTATAGAGACCCGCGAGTCAAAGCTAGGGCTTCAGTACGTACCTCGCCAGCATAAAATATTAGTTCTCATGCGCACAGACAGGAACTTGGGAAGAACGCAAACCTAAATAATCTAATGTATAAAATATTGGAAGGAAAACAGCGTTTTCGGTTTTCAAAACTTTGAATGTGGTTTCACCGTCAGTCTCGGTCTCACGAGTAATTTAGTTGGAACCTGCAGAGGCTAGCAGGTTATTAAACGTATGATGATACATATTAAATAATTTAATGAAAGTAGGTAATATGAAATATGAAGCATGAAATAGGGTTTCTAATGTTTAAGCGTGTCTCTCCTGCCATGCACGCTCGAAGCTAGATGAGTCACGTACTAACATTAACCCATACAGGCTACAGGTGGTGTAGTACATACTGATCATTAAGTTCAGGACCACTCTGAGAGATGTCTCAACTAAGTATCCAAACACACAATTACCAAGTTTCTTTGTAAGTTTTAAGGCTAGGGCACGCTTACCTTGTACCAAGTTTTTCATGAGGATAATGTAAGGGAGACTAAATTTATAGGCAAAATTTGCAAACTAAATAATTTGTCACAAATAGGAATGAGTATGTTTATCAACATTTAACTAATAACTCAATCATTAACTTCTATGTCATTTAGTTTACAAAATTTTACCTACAAATTTAGTCTCCTTAACATTACCCTTCATGAAGAGAATCCCATGAATTGAATTATATAAAGGGAGAAAATACCACAAGAGTTACTTAGCAGTATTTTGAAGGCACAAACTTTATTCCACAGCACTATTTGTTATAGTTTCCTATGCTTGATAAAAAAACATAAATAAATAAAAAAAATATTCCTAGGTGGGCAAAATTGTGAGCCTAGCTAGCTAAACCCGTAAGTTTGAAAAAGACTGAGTACTACTCAATCTCAAGGCCGTGGCTGAAGATTGTGTACTGGCGGCTTGCGGCGGCCCATTTGATGGTGGTAATCTTTACGCATCATGTTTACTATCTCTCTTGTCGCCTTAAGAAGGCTTCTTGCTTCATTATCTGTCAACTTATGATCGTCTTTTTCATCATAATTTTTAGTCATTTGAGATTCGGTTGTTGGGTGCTTTGTCTTGAAATCTTGGGAGTGATTTGGTTTAAGATCTCTGGGAATTTTCAAACTACCGGCAGAAGTACTTTTCAATGTTGTTAGCTTCAGTATCTTCATATCATCCTGGTTCATGTGTAAACATATAACCAAGTTAGAATCAAATTAAAGTCAAAAGTTAAGCTATTGGAATAGGCTAGTTACAGGGTTTGAAACCCTCCAATGTTAAAAATTAAAAAAGCCAAAATTTGAAAGTAATTATGAAAGGTTGTGAGAGAGAGAGAGAGAGAGAGAGAGAGAGAGAGAGAGACCTGTTGGTTTAATTTGTTTTGACGTTTTCCACGGAAATTGCTTGAAGCTTTAGGATTATCCTTACCTGCAATTAGAGAACAAGTATGCAACATAAATCATGTATTATTTGCCACCTCATCTCAAAATTGGTTCCACAACCATTACAAAACAATATGGTAATCTCATAATTTTCCATCCATTACTCACATGCATTGCAAGGAGGCTTAAGCATCAAATTAAGCAAAGAAAATCCCCTCCAACACATATATATCTTCTTTGAATACTAATACATATATACAATCACACTAGCTAGCTAGCTAAATATAGCTACTACGTGACATAACTATCACACATATGTTTTCACTAGAGCATCTGACAACACGAGCCGGGAAGACAGATGATCTCAGAACTATCGAAATAATTTTCTCAATTGTGTTTGGGAGGATGGCGTGCAGGCCCGTGATAATCAGCACCAAAAGCTACAAAATCATGATGAGAGACTTTGGAGTACTGCTTAGAACTAGCAGTACTAGTATTACTTTTATCACGATCTCCAAGTTTACATTTTACATTTAGATCTTCCCTTCCTTCAAAGTTACAATTTCCATCAGAAGTACTACGGTTTGCACCTGGATTCTTGGAAGTGGTACTAGCCTCTTCATTCTGCTGCCCATCTGGTCTTACTGGCTCTAATTTCCTTAACACTCTCTGTGCCACCATTTTCCTTCCTCCAAGCCCTATCATCCTTGACCCAGCTATTGAAATTCCATCAACATTTGGTTCCTGCATATTTTATGTGGAGTAGCTTATAAATCATAAGTTTAAGTCATATTCCCCAGAAAGCTTCTTGCACTTCTGAAACACAGTTCAAATAACACCATGTATTATAGTGATGCTATTGAAGGAGTGCAAGAAGCTCTCTGAGGAGAGTTCAAGTTCAAAGTATGCTTTACCTTTTGATCAGGCAATACTGCACGTTTCCCAGTCATTGAAACATCTTCCTTACCTACAAATTAAACAAGAGTGTTAGAAGAGAAAAATACTCCAAATTTTTTTATGAGAAATCCCCAGCCGAATATATTGAAGAGAAAAAGCTATACATATCTAGTATATATCTACCTTTATGAGCATGTGCAGTGCTAAACTGGCCTAGGGCATGCATACCAAAAAGAAGCCCTACTACCAAGCTTGTAAGCTGTAGCATCATTGTGTTTATAGTTTCTTCTTAGCCTTAACTTTCTAGCAAAAGTGTAGTGATCTTAGATTGACAACAAGAAGAGAGGAAACTTGGAGAGACTGATGTGGGTTTTATAGAGAAAGTTCAAACCCAAGTACAAGCTAGGGTTTAGGCATGTACTTCACCTCCATAAAATATAATTCTCAAGGGTACAGACATGACTTGGAAGAACTCGAAACTAATTAATCTAATCTATAAAGCATTCGAAACCCTCATGTGCAACCAAAAAAAATATTCGAGAAAACAGTGAAAGGAAAACAACGTTTTCAATTTCCAAAACTTTAAATGTGGTTTCACAAGTTAATATTATACATAATCGGTAGTGGTTAACAGGCCATAAAACATACGATGGTTCATATAAAATGAAATTAATATGTAATAGGGTTTTTATCTTTTTTAGTTCATGTTTATACCGCCATGCATGCAACGAAGTAATTAAATTTAGGTAGGCTTAAAAAATGAGTCACTAGCAACCCCTTGTAGTATATGCTGATATGATCAGGGTAGAGAAAAACCTAAAGACAGTACTCATCCAAGTTAAATTGTAAATTGCAATAGCTTATTTGATGAAGGTCAAAATATCAGACATTATATTCAGCACTAGAAAAATTAAATGTAAACTAATTAAAATTATACTAGCTTGAGTAATGCTATTTATACCATGTTTTGTACCACATATTCATACCACCTTAGGTGACATTTGACGTGGACAACCACATCATTTGAATTAATCAGATTTTTAAATTTAGTTCATTATTTAATAAACTAGTAATTAAGAAAAACTAGTTAATTAAATAATGATGTGGATGTCCACATCAGATGTCACCTAAGGTATTATAAAAATATGGTGCAAAAATATGGTATGAATAACATTACTCTACTAGCTTTATTTGGCATTTTGCAAGGTAAGCATGTTGGTATTAGTGTGATCTTCATGGAAATCTTACTTTTGTAAGCTTCATTATATAAAACCAAGTTGAAAAGTAAAAAAAAGGATCAAGTTAATTAAATAGTCATCAGATACCAGCTGTTATTTTTCATTTAATTAATTACTAAACCAACCAACAGTAAAAATATGATTAGATAATTATAATCGGGTCAATATATCGTAGCTGCAGGGATCAGCTCAGTCAGAGATTCGGTCCTCACCTTTCAACATAAATTACAAACAAGTAGAAGCATGAGATTTTTAAACAAAGCTATCAAGACTTCTGCCAAAAGTTAATTTCTTTGTCTTTCTACAGCGGATAATATTCATTTTGTTCACAACACATCACATGCTTCAGCGTGATCAGATCAACTGAATCACTTCTTCCTCATCATTTGCTTAAAATTATATTTTGAAATTGACGAAATTAGATGTAAATCACACAACAGAAATAAATAAGAATGAAAAAACAAATAGTGTTAAGAGTTAAGAGGAAGGAGGTGGTGGAAGGCAAGCTGGCATAGTTCCCGAAGAGCCTGCAGAAACATTGACAAGTGATTTCGCATAGAATTGCTCAAAACACTTCCCCTTAAACAAATTAGGGTTTCTACTTCCTATATGTGGTGTGTTGCAATTTTAGAACACGAGGGCGTGACCTCCAACTCTACGATAGTGCTTTCATCTTGACAACAGTGCATTGCATACTGTGTGCTTTCCAAGTAAGTTGGTTCGAGACATATTGGCCGGCATCCCCATACAACAAATATTGCTTTATTAGCACCAGCTTCTCAAACTATAACTCTCGTAGAAAGTATTGGCTTACTTGAAAATCAAAATCTCAAATGGTACCATATTTAGAACTTACATCCTTTTTAATTAATTAAATGATCATATTGATAAAATGTCAATAACATTGGTAGATAACATTCCAATAGTATAACATTTTGACATGTTATCGGCACATTATCAATATTATCTATAAAATTTATCGTGTAACAAAGACTTTTAACAAAAACAAACATCTTGCTCAGAAAATATCATGCAAGTTTCTTGGCATGCTTTGAATGCATTCTGCACTGATAACTAATAAAACGTACTCGGAGCATCCCAGAAGTTTACAGGGAAAAAAATTCTGCAGCTAACTAATGGAAATGGACACATTGGCATGGAGAAAGTCGGCTCCTGTTACCAATATTGTCCGTCTCCAGAGTTGTTTAGGAAGATATTTTGATAGAGTTATCCGGATAGTGGCAGTCTATACCACAGAAAATTGCTGAGGAGCACAAACCAGAATGAACCTTTATGCTGGTTCCGAGCTACCACTTAAAGTTATAGACATAAATCAATACAAAATTGGATCAGAGACATGAATCTCATCTCATGCACAAGTCTTAATTTCTGTACCAGGTTAAGCTTTTGAGATTTAGGAAGTTGTATATGTCTTACCACAGTTACCATCAAAGCATGGGATTGTCAACACTAAAATCAGAAGCTGATTAATTGGTCTAAAAAAGGACACAGCACATGCATGCTGGTGTGCATATATCTATATATGTGGGCTAGCTAGGATTGGAGGACCTATTTTTTGACACATATTTTATGGGGTTCACATTGTAACTTTTTTCAATGATCTGAACTGTTTATATTTCAATTCATCATTAATAGATTATCTTTGCAAAATGTTAGACAAATCCAAAACTATTAAGGTATTCATTTATAGTGAAGAAGAAAAAAATTAATGAATACAGTTTTGATTAAAAAAAAAAAAACTAAAATAACTATCATTTGATTCGACGATCATATGGTTTCGAATTTGAATGATTTTTGGTGAATTTCATCTTTGAGAGAAGATCTAAAATATAGATGGTTGGATCATTGAAATCCATATATACACACACACGCACAAGGTAGAACTTGATGTAACTTTCACAATAATGTGATTATACATGCTTTTTTTTTTCTTTTTTCTTTTTTTTTTATTATTTATTATTTATTATTTTTTTGTTTGAGAAAGATACATGTTAAATTGTGAGCACTCAATGTCATGATGATGTGATTAAAAATGTTAGAATGTGAGCATTCAATCTGAAATCCATTGGAGGCACATAAACTTTTAAGCACTTTATGCAAAACTTTCATCTCTGATATGAGATACTATCAAAGTATTTTAAGCACTTTAAATAAGTATTCAAATTTTGTTGTGTGACAAGGGAGAGCATTTGACCTAACTTGTTGGTACAAGCTTTAATACGATGTTACTCAAAACACTTGACAATGCATGTTGAAGTTTATGCAAGCCTATCTTCGGTGTGGGATACTATCGACAAGAAACATGATCAATTTACAATATGCAAACTTGTGAAGGGATCCATTTGAGAACCCAAGAACAAAAATTCCTTTTTTTATTAATACAAGATCAAAGACTCCCTTAGATTGCAATCTTAACTTTTATCATTTGCTACTTGTTTCTAGAAGCAAAGGCCGATAATGAAGAGGTGAGAGATGGAGAGGTCCATGTTAATGGGGGAGGAACCAAAACCCAATGGGCTTTACCCATTTGAAAGCCAGAGATCAATTTTACTAGGTCGGCTTCTACTACCACTTGCATTCATTACATAACCAAAAGATACAGGTCACAACTCCAAAATTGTGAAATGAAGAAAAATATCATCATTTTTGCCTGGGAAATGGAACTGCTTAGAGAATACAGACCTATATCACCAACCAAAAGACAGATAAGGAATTTAACTGAAACGAGCAACTGAGCAAGGCACGGTAACACTTCAAAATATACAGGTTGGTTTGTTAATGGTTCCAAATGTTTACAAGAATTGGAAAAGTTGCCTTCTTACAGTTTTTACCCCGATCGACCATGTTCTTTCTCTACCAAGCCCAGCCTTTGTCTCAAAACTAAAGCCTTGCTCAATCACTAGACAATAGACATCACAAAGCCCTTGTATTAGGGTAATATCGCAAGAGCAGCAGATAATATCTCATTTACAAAACTGGTTTTTCTGGGATGCACTCACATTGCCAATCCATGAGGCTGTTCAACTCGAAAGATTAGCCAACAAGTCCAGTGTCAAATACCTTGAATCCATCGAGCATCATTTTTTTTAAGTAGCATAAGAATGGATCAAGAGAACAACGCCAACTGGAGATGGTATCCGCTAATAATTCTCTGACTAGTAATTGCGAAACCTGGAGAGCAAAATTTTCTGCTTAGTATACGGAAGCATCAAATCTTGGCTCATAGAAACAAACCTGGCTGTTGTATGACTGCAGAGCGCAGCCTGCGATCCATGACCACACCTTCTTATCAACATCGTAAAGAAGACCCTTCCCTTGGTTCCAAGATGTGAAGCAGATCAAGTTATCCTGTCCAGAGCACTCGAACCTCTCGGCTGATAACCTTAACAGAGATCGGAAATACTTCGGAGGCATCCTGCTAATCTCTACCCACACAAATTTAGCATGATCCAGTTCCCAAATTCTCATACTCTGAAGAGTACTATAAAGACCAATCCTTCCAACTAGAAACAGGCGCTTCTGGGTGCCAGCGACCAAATAACCATCCAATAGAGACCGCGGGAACTTAGCTGGAATGTGTTCCCAGTACCCCTGTGTCCAGTCGATACATCATCAGGCCAAGTGGAGAAAGGGTTTCCAAATATAATCTGGAGTCACAATATGCCATCTTTGAGGAGCAAAGATTAACTGCAGGCATTATCTGGTGAATTGACCACGTATTGAGCTTCGAATCATATACTTCAGTGGGCAGTGATTTGTCACCATAAATATCACTAGTAGCTATAACTTTAAACGACCGGTCCTTCCTATCAACAACCATTATCAGCTGCCTTTGCTGATTATAATGCATACTGGGCAATGTCCTCCAAGTTTGTGTAAGAGGGTTACAAACCAAGGCTCTAAAATTTAAGCCATCGAGCCCGGAAAAGCAAACTAAACCAGCAGAAGAACCAACCAACCAGAATGCCCACTGTGGCAAAAATGCGAACGGAATCCTATACCATGTTTTTAATGGCAAGCTGAAGACTGAGCATTGTGGGGTCTGAGAGTTCTTCCAAAATGTGAGAAGACAAGGCCCATGAGACGGTACTTGTGAGTGAAACTTAAGAAAGCTTCTATCTTGTAGAATTGTATTCCACCGTTTACATACACAGCGGAGCCTAAATATCATAAACGGCGGAATTCTAGCTAATATCTCATTCAACAAATCCTCGGGCAACATTGCCCATATATTATCCTCCATTTGAACATCAGGATGAACTGGTTTCCCAAATGTAGAAGCCGTTTCTTCATCTAGTCCTCGCGGCTTTGTCTTAACCACCTTTTGCCTCGAAGGGCTTGTATTCCTTGATCTTACACAACCCAACGGACTCGTGTTCCTCGACCCACCACCTCTAAGCGGCGACACTTGCTTTGGGCACCTATCATCTTCACTTGAAACCCCATTTCCCATAGATTTCGAACTCGTTACAGCAGACCTAGATTCAGAAGATTCCTCAGAACCATCCATGGTGATAAAACCCCAACTAACCAAAATTTTACTCCGGCGTTTCAAGCCTAGCACCCAATTCCTAACTCCTAAATCTTAACCCATGCTTCCTACCCCAAAAGACCAAAAATTTCAATGTCAATTAACTGTCATCACCAAATAACAAAACCCAGAATTCAAAAAGTATGGCCTTTAACAATCAAAGCATTAGACCAGCATTATAATTGAGATTAAACAAAAAAGCCCTAATCTTTACTCAGATCCAAAATTCATAATCTTGCAGATTGTAAGATGAGTCAAGCGAAAGATGGAAAGTTTTTGAGCAAAGATCAACTACCAGCACAAAATTCAAGCTTTTCACCTTGTGATTTGAGATGGGTGTCCTCCAGGATTCAGAAATCTTCCATAGCTTCTGCTTGGTGAAGGAAACAGCTTCTTGAAGGAGCACAGATGAGTTAGGGGAAAGGCCCTGGGTGTCCTAATTTCAAGGCTATTTCTTTTTACATTTGTGTTTGATTTACTTTGTCACTATTTGACAAAATGGACAAAGAAGAATCCATATAAATATTTCCGCATGATGTTGATGCCTATTGCCATTAGAGGGTGCCACGTTAGAAAAGAAGTTGTTTATTATTCTGCTTTAGTTGATAACATTGTTTGGCCGGTACCTATCAGACAAAATGGACGGCAATGATTGGTGGGTGGGTGTGATTGTGTACATAGCAGATAAGTAGTAAAACTTTGCCCTAAAAAATAAATTTACCCCTTTGGTCTTGGGCTATTAGATTATTGGGGTCCACTAAATTGCGGTACTTTTGTTACCATGGGCTCCACTCATGTTTCTGGTGGTTGTTGAAGATTTAGTCTACAAAATGCACCAAACGGATTCATTGTTGTTCACTACATGTACACCGTAAGTAAGCAGTGTGTGTCTTCTAATATGAAGTAGCTGAGAGGACATTGGCGATATTGTAAAACTATAGTTTTTGTATATAAATTAACATGGGGCATGTTGTAAGATCTCAAGAATTCCTACAACTTGGGATAAATTTTGCAGAATAGTTGTAAATTGTGAGTAGCTATCAGCTAGTGAGGAGCAAATCGGTTGACTAGTCATTTGTATCCTGCAAAAGTTTTTTTGAATGCTAATATAGGATCCCATTTTATGAAAAATCAAATGCAAAGAGGAAAACTTTACTGCAAGTCTTCCATATAATCTTATGAAAAAAATGCTGCATTTTCTTCAGTCCAACTCTTTATTGTTACCAATAGTTTTATGACCTTTGAGAATAATAGAAAACAATCCAACTTCATCTTCAGCAATAATTCATCAAGTTCCCTCAAACGGATTTGTTGTAGAGGATAAACGAGTGCCTTTTTGGACACTACTGTAGGATGCCTGATTTACTTGGGGTGTGGTGCAAGGGTAGCTGGGAAAAGAGTATTTGCTCTAATATTGACGAAACTCTAACGTCTCAAGGCGTTTTCTCCAACTCAAGATAAATCTTGCATGATAGTTGTAGATTGTGAGTAGTTTGTCAATTGATCCGTCATTTACATTCTCTAGTTGATTGTGATAATTTCAAAATATCTCAATATACCCTTTTGCACGAGAGCAACTTACATGTAACAGATTCACTGTCACTTGACGTCTCAATTTAACAATACATTGTCATGTGAAGAAAAACTTTCACTTGACAATGTATTATTAAATACAAGACACCATGTGATGGTAAACCCGTTTTATGTAAGTCTTCCTCCTTTTGCACAGATATGTGTGATCGCCGGCCAGATTGTATTTACTTGTCACCAAGAATCTTGTTATATGTGATCCAAGCTTCCCCACTCTCTATAAATATCGATATACCAGGCCCGCAAACCCTAGCAAAACAGACTTTCTCTCACTTTGTTAATCTTCTTCTATTTGTTTCCAAGCCTTTTTTCTGACTCAGTTATTTATAATTATTTAATTAAGTAGGTACAAGTTGACTTGCAATATATACATAAAAGTTGATCAGCAAGAGCTCCCAAGGGACATGGTATTCCATCAATTTCTCCCAAGGCTGCCGGCAAAGTCGCTAATGCGATTTAGGTGCGTATGCAAGCTTTGGTCCTCTCTTATCCGTAGCCCTTCCTTTGTCACTGCTCACATGAACTTCCATTGCCACAACTACAAGAAAGATACTGTCAAAACTCCTCTTCACATTACAAAGAAGTAACCACTGGCTCTTCTTCTGCTCAGGAATAAATCAGAAACGACATCCAACACCTGTTGCCCTACTTACGTACTCTCCGTACATATCTTACTCCGAATTTGCGGTACAATCGTAGAGTATCAACGGTTTGGTCTGTGCATTAAGTGATGAACATGTTTTTGTATTTAACCCTAGCATGAGAGAGTTTGCAGTGCTTTTTGATGCAGAAATCGACCACAAATTTCTCGCTGGGATCATGTCATTGTGGATTCAGTCCTTTTACGAAAGAGTAAGGTTCTCCGACTAGTAGGTAGTAGATTGTTCCAATAGTGGCAGGCTGAAAGTTTTCATGCTGAAAATGTTATTGGGTCACGGAGGCAGTTAAAATTAATCTTGCTCACCTTCCTTTCGACCGGAGGCATACATTGGATATACAATAAGGAAAATATTTTAGTGGTTTTCGACTTTGGGAACGAGAAATTTAGGGCGATCCCACTCCCTGATCGATGTTTTGACTCTCACTTAATCCATAAAGGCATAGCTGTGGTGGAAGGATGTTTGGTCGTCTTGGTCACAAGCGCGTTAAAAAGAAAATCGAATTGTTGTTACGGATTCTGAAGGACTACGAAAGTCATGATCATGAGTGGGTCGAAGAGACTATCTTACTGAAATATACAAAGTCCCATTATTATCCTGTATGTACAATCCACACAGGCCGAGATAGCGATCGTGTTACATCCATATTGCAGATATTGTAGGGAATTCAAGCATGCAGCCACCCGAATTGCATCTGCTATACAGGAAGAACAAACGGTGCAAAAACGTGGATTTAGTTTTTCCTGAATGTAAATGTACAAGCTCTACAGACGAAGGAAGAATATGAAACACAACATATAGTTTTGTGACGTTTGAGAAAAGCAGAACACAGAATATGCATGCAATCTTTTCGTTTTTGCTTTGCTCCTTTTTCTGGTGGTCTGCAAAGTTCAAATGCATTGCGACTTTAACTGCATCTCTTATTTTGACAAGTAGATCTCAAATATATATTAAAAATGAAAAAAATGGGGGACTCCAACTCGTTCAAGCAACTTGTGGTTGAGAATTTCACTGCTTATAATTAAGACATAAAACTCAGTACCCAAATAAATACTCAACGTGTATGGTCGACCTGAAATTAAGTAAGCGTACTGCCGAAAAATGATTCAAATATGGGCTATAGGCACTTGAATGGGAGGATAGAGATGACGGTGGTAATTATGAAAATATTTTCAATGAGTCTGGAACACAGAGAGGTACACCACAATTATACTATTAGTGGAAACCTTTTATTTTAAATGTTATTCTAATTGTACAATGGCATGTAGTGTTTCATCCTGTGTTCTGGACACACTTCAAAATATCCCGTAGTTTTTGGCTTTAGAAGATAGTGGGGAAGGCTTAATCTCCATACTTTGTATCTGTTCCATTATTATTGACAAATGGTGTACATGTTAGGTATGAAGGCTGGCCCATGAAAGCTATAACAACCTGAAATATAAATTAGGGTCGCAATAACTTGTGACTCACGAATCATGATCCTCAAACTGAAGGCTGCCCGTGAGTTTATTTGGTTTTGACTCACATTCATGAACCGTTAGCAAACCAACTTGTTGATTCACAACTCAAACTTTCCATACATCACTTTTACCAATGATTGTAACAGAATTTGAGATATATTTCAATAATAGCTATTGCTATATATAAATGAAACAAAAAATTGACATACTAACTGCTTTTCGACTATCAAAATAAGCATGACTATGATACATATCATTCAATCAATTTGACCTAGGTTTTGCGTTCAAATATGTTAAGAGTTTGTATTGTAGGTTAATGCTTATCCTCGTAAATTCTATATTCGATCTCTCCTCTCTTAACATCAATTATTTCAATGAAATTTGTAAGTGACAGATTGATCGAGTGACACTTATTCTCCAATTGATCTAGTGACATTTTAATCTCCAATTCGTACAAGGATGCATGAATAAATTTTATTTGATTTGTTTGTTTTGCTGGCAATAAGATAGTTTGAACAAACAAATAAGAATTTGAGCAATAGGTTATATAAAGTAAAGAGAATAACGATCTATTTCAAACTTCATAAATCTAGAAGATTTGGGCTCTAATAACAAAGCTCTAGAGAAGTTAGGGTTAGTTATTCTTAAACACGAGTCATACGTAAACGACTACCAATTACTAATATTTTTTAATAAAGTTAAAGGAGGAGGGGGAGAGCGTCAGGTAGTCGACAGTCGGCACTCTTAGGTTACGTCGAATCCTTATGAAAATGAATCCAGAACAAAATTGTGCTAAAGCTAGGGTGTCACCCGTAAGTGGTGCGCTGTGTGGCCCGAGCACAATGATAAGTGAGCAAGGGTCGCTATATCTCCATCGACACTCGGATGCAGTGTTAAATGAGCAAGGGGGTCATAGAAACTTCTTTTTGAATGACTCCACTCAAAGTTGTTTGAGAGCATATGCTCCTATCAACTTTACATAGGACACACAAAAGAAGTACTTTGATCCTATTAGATGGCGGAGGGTGAAGAAGCTAGGACAGAAGGGTAGAGTTCAAGAGAGTAGAATGCGTTTAGGAACGTGGAATATAGGAACCTTAACGGGAAAATCTATAGAAGTAATGGAAGTTATGGTGAGGAGAAAGATAAGTATTATGTGCCTACAAGAAACTAAGTGGGTTGGTCTTAAGGCAAAAGATCTAGAAAACTCAGGTTTTAAACTTTGGTATTCGGGCACAAATAGAACACGAAATGGTGTTGGCATCATCGTGGACAAGACCTTGACACAAGATGTTGTAGATGTTAAGAGGGTAGGAGATAGAATTATGGCAATCAAGATTGTAATAGGACAAGAAATCATCAATGTGATTAGTGCGTACGCACCTCAAGCAGGGTTGAATACGAGTTTGAAGGAGAAATTTTGGGAAGATCTTGGAGACTTAGTGCAAAGAATTGCTTAGACGAAGAATGTATTTATAGAAGGAGATTTAAATGGACACGTAGGCAAGGAAACAGGCAGCTATGGAGGTTTTCATGATGGCCATGGTTTTGGGGAAAGAAACGAGGATGGGGAAGCCATTTTGGATTTTGCAATGGCATATGATCTCTTCTTAGCCAATACCTTCTTTGAGAAGAGAGAAGAACATGTGATTACCTACAAGAGTGGGTCGTCAAAAACACAAATAAATTTTCTTCTAATAAGTAAAGGGGATCGTATAACTTGTAAGGATTGCAAAGTTATACCAGGAGAGAGCTTGGTTAATC